GCGACACCTGCACCCTGCAATGCTCTCACCTCTGCAATGCCCTCACCTTTGCAATGCCCTCACCCCGCGACGCCTGCACCCTGCAATGCCCTCACCCTGCGACGCCTGCACCCAGCTCAACCTGGCAGGGGACCAGAGGTGCTGGCGGGGGTTTTTGATGACTTCTCTTTTCTCCCTTTCCAGACTCAGTGGAGGATGCTGAGACTGAGCAGCCCCAGGAACAAGGTGGGTTCTGCTGGTGGCTCAGGCTCCCTCTGGTTATGAGCTGGGCCTTGGGGTAAGACCGGGGGAGGTAACAGAGCTGAGCACGCGGTGGGCATTGGGTGCGGCTGTCACCCCTCTGTGGGTGTGGGCTGCAGGCTTGGGGGAGGTCGCCTGAGGTGGGCCCAAATCTCCTATTCACTGCGGTGCTGGAGGCTGCGGGGGCCGCACTTCCAGGGAACATGCCAGCCCCTGCCTGGTCCCCAACCGAGGCAGTCCTTTCTACTGCCTGGGCCCACGTGGGGCTGTGGGTTCCTTTCTCATGACCTGGAGAAGCTGCAGCTTGCCCTCTGCTCTGCCTCAGAGACGCGAGGCCACTGCCCTCATGGGGTGGCTGGATTCAGAGGCTTAGGTTACAGTGGTCTCAACTGAGGTCCCCCAAGGGTCTGCTCCTTCCTGAGGGGCTGATTCAGAGAGAGACCCCCCCCCATCTACAGCTCTGTCTTCCCTGCACACAGGGTCCGTGTGGGGAGAGCCTGGGGATGTGGACACAGTTCCCCTTGGGGTTAAGGGCCCTCGGAAATTCCCTGGGAATGGGATCCATCCGAGCACATTTGGGAAACAGGCAGGAGGTCCCAGAGGAGGCCTGGAAGCCGGTGGGGAAGGGAAGGCTGTTGTAGGCTTGCCGGGGGCAGGGGGTGGTTCCACAGGCTGCCCGAGTCCCTGGACCAGGTGCGTGGCCCTCCAGAGCCAGGGTAGCAGCTATGGGGGACCATTTGCCTCTGCTGGGTGGGAGATTTCTTAGCTGGTCTAGTGTGGTCAAGTCAGACATTTGCCCCTAAACCATATTTAATATTTTTTATTCCAAGGCTTTACAGATGAATAAGGAGACAGTTTGTATTAAAAATATTTTTTACATGTGAGGTTGAAACAGAGAGTCTGTTTAAATCGAGATTCTTTCCTTCCCAGTAACGTCTCCTTTCCTCCCAGGTTTTCCGACAGGAAGCGTGCTTGTTTGCTCACCTCTGGGAGGGGGTTTGGCTGGGAATGCCCTGAAGCCAGCCAGCGCCAAGGGGCTGTGCGGGCAGCCTGGCCTGTGTTAACCCTGTAGGAACCGTGGGCCTCAGGTTTTCAGACCACCTAAGGTGAAGGTGGCCACAGGGGTCTGGAAGCTTTCCCATGCCTCCTGCAGGGATGGTCCCTTTCCCTGCATGGAGCTGGGCACATGCATACGACATCCCTGCCCTCTGCCGGGGGTGGCTTTATCAACTTTGCATAGTGGCTTTGGAGCTGATCAATAGCTCTGACTGGTTGTTGAGGATTTCATGGGTTCCTGCAGCCCACTGGGGGGCCCAGTACGCTGACAAAACTTATATTTGTGGTTGCAGCGCTGCGCATGCTCGGGTCCAATTAAGTGGCTTTGACTCTTTTTTTTTTTCTCTATTATTTTATTTTTTTGAGTCAGGGTCTCACTTTGTTGCCCAGGCTGGTTTCACATTCCTGGGCTCAAGCAATCCTCCTGCCTCGGCCTTCCAAAGTACTGGGACTGCAGGCATAAGCCACTATGCCCAGCCTTAACTGGCTTTGATTCTAAAGGGAAGGATGCCTTTAGATGCCTTTAGACTCTCTGAGGATCACTGAGCTGACACATAGAATCTCCTGAAACCATGCCGTCAAATGGGTGAAGGAGGAGAATGGGGGGACTGGCAAGCCGGTGGGGCAGTATTGTCTGAAGAGTGCTACGCCAGGGATGCAGAGGCCAGGATGTGGGGACCTGCCCCCAGTGGACCCAGGACTCACACCTGGACTCTAATCTATCTAGGTGTTTTTGTGACTTGCAGAAATACCTCTACCTTGCCTGAGCCTGGAGCCTCAGGAGACCCTGCAGAAGGTGAAGAATGTTCTGGAACAATGTAAGACCTGCCCTGGCTGCCCCCAGGAGCCCGCGTCCTGGGGTCTCCGTGCGGCATCCAGCGATGAGAGCTTGCAGGACCCAGAGAAGCCCTCCTTCTGCTTGGGAGCTGAGGACGACTGGACAAACCCGGAGACCCTGAGCTCACTGCTACTATTCCTGAACGCTCCTGAGTACGAGGCTGGCTTCCATGGCCTGTATGACGTGGCACTGCCGTGGCTGAGCACTCTGTTCTGCAGCTTCAGCGATGAGGAGGAGGTGACTGGGCGCCTGGCACAGGCCCGGGGCACGGCCAAGAAAGCCGGCCTCCTCATGGCCCTGGCCAGACTGTGCTTCCTCCTGGGACGGTTGTGCAGCAGGAGACTCAAGCTGTCCCAGGCCCGGGTGTACTTTGAGGAAGCGCTGGGGGCCCTGGAGGGCCGCTTTGGAGACCTGTTCCTGGTGGTGGCCGTGTATGCCAACCTGGCCAGCATTTACCGGAAGCAGAAGAACCGGGAGAAGTGTGCACAGGTGGTGCCCAAAGCCATGGCGCTGCTCCTGGGCACGCCCGGCCACATCTGCAGCACTGAGGCAGAGGGGGAACTCCTGCAGCTGGCGCTGCGGTGGGCGGTGGGCGGCCAGAGCCTGCAGGCCGAGGCCCGCGCCTGCTTCCTGCTGGCCAGGCACCACGTGCACCTCAAGCAGCCCGAGGAGGCGCTGCCCTTCCTAGAGAGGCTGCTGCTTTTGCACAGGGACTCGGGAGCCCCGGCGGCTTCGTGGCCTACGGACTGCTCCCTGCTCCTGGCTGACATCTACAGCCGCAAGTGCCTGCCCCACCTGGTGCTGGGCTGTGTCAAGGTGGCCTCATTGCGGACACGGGGCTCACTGGCCAGCTCACTGAGGAGCGTGGACTTGGTGCTCCGGAACACCCCCCAGCCCCACGGCCTCCCTGCCCAGGCTTCCCACTACCTCAGGCAAGCACTGGCCTCCCTGGCCCCAGACACAGGCCAGCCACTGCGTGGCCCCCTCTACGCCAGCCTGGCCCAGCTATACAGCCACCACGGGTGCCACGGCCCGGCCATCACCTTCATGACACAGGCAGTGGAAGCCAGTGTGGCTGCCGGAGTCCATGCCATCGTGGACCATCTAGTGGCTCTGGCCTGGCTGCACATGCTGCACGGGCAGAGCCCGGTGGCCCTGGACATCCTGCAGTCTGTCCAGGATGCGGGGGTGGCCAGCGAGGACCAGGAGGGTGTGATTGCCAACATGGTGGCTGTGGCCCTGAAGAGGACCGGCCGGACGAGGCAGGCAGCTGAGGGCTACTACCACGCCCTGCAGGTGGCTCAGGGCCTGGGCCAGCAGAGGAACCAGGCAGTGGTGCTAGCCAACTTCGGGGCTCTGTGCCTGCACGTGGGTGCCAGCAGGCTGGCACAGCACTACCTCCTGGAGGCTGTGCGGCTGTTCTCGAGGCTGCCCCGAGGGGAGTGTGGCCGGGACTTCACCCACGTGCTCCTGCAGCTGGGCCACCTGTGCACCCGCCAGGGCCCCGCCCAGCAGGGCAAAGGCTACTACGAGTGGGCTTTTCTGGTCGCCGTGGAGACGGGCCACGTGGAAAGTGAGTGACTTGGTCCCTCCTGCCTGCCTTCCGGGGCCACTCGGGGTTAGGGCACACCTGGGGTTTGTGATTCAGATGCAAGTGGTGGTTTTTCCACCATCAAAAATGCTGAGTTGTGGCAAATAGCAGATGCTGGCAAGCGCCCTGGAGACAGGCGGTTCCCACGCAGGGCCAGGCCCTCTGTGCCCTATCGAGGGAGCCAGCCCTTTCTGGTTTGCCCAGGGACCATCCTACCTTGAGTCCTGCATGCTGGGAATCCCTGCAGTCCAGGCAGCGGGGCGATGGGTCACCCTAGACGTAGCCCAGGGAGCAGAGCAGGCGCCGCTGAGCTGGGCCTCGGGGCCCTTCCTCGAGCCAGGCCCTGACGCCAGGGCTTGTGCCCATGTTATCTGCTTGGCATCTCGGCAGCCCTGTGCACCTGACATCCCACTTCACAGAAGACGCGAGGGCGGGTGGTTACCCAAAGCCACCGAGCAGTTCATGCACAAGCAGCTCGCTGTGCAGACGGTGCCTGGCCCCACCCACAAATGGGGCTTGTGGGGTCCTCGGGTGGCAGGGGCTGAGCGTGGGAAAGTGACCTTCGGTCCAGAGAAGCCACAAAAGCGTGAGTGTCGTGATGGCGGGGCAGCTCTTGGCCCCGCGTTAGGGAAGTCTCTTTAGTCTGGGACCAGAGGGTTGAGAGGATTTAGACAAGTGGTAGGTGGCGGGTGAGGGGGTGGTGTGTAGCTGTGTGAAGGCCCGGGGTGAGGGAATGGGGGTGAGTGAACAGGTGAGTGAGCGGGGGTGGGTAAGCAGGGGTGGGTAAGCAGGGGGGTAAGCAGGGGTGAGTGAGCTTGGGGGTGCGTGAGTGAAAGTGTAAGTGGGGATGAGTGAACGGGAGTGTGCATGGGGGTGAGTGAGCAGAGCCTGTGCAGGGAGGTGCAGACTTGGGAGTGAGTGTGTTGGGTGCTGGATGGTGAGAAGCTCTGCTGTGGAGCTAAGCAGGGCCTGGGGCCTCAGGCTGTGGCTTAATCCTTTTCCCAGAAGCACTGGGGAGCCATCAAGTGCTGTAGAATACTCACTGCAGCTGCGAGCAGTGGACAGACAGTAGGTGGGCAGGGCTGCTGCAGCCTAGACTGCAGGGCATAGACGGAGGAAGCTGAGACCGGGGAAATGGCCAGGACCTGTGGTACCGTTGTGGGTCCCCTCTGCCCCGCAGCGCTTTGTCCATCCTCCCAGGATGGACATCCCGGCATCCTGAGACCACGAAGAGGTGCCTCCTGTGGCCCGGCTCAGAGCCCCAGGGCTGTGGCCGAGTCTGTCCACTTAGCACAAGCCTGGCACCCGCTCCTGGCCCTTGGAGGGATGAGCTTCCAGAAAGGATGTGAGGGGGCCCTGGTCCTACACATCTGCCCAAGGAGGGGTGGGAGGGTTCAGACCCAGGCATCTTCCCCAGGGGATTCTCTGACTAGAAGGGGACCTTTGGGACCTCCAGGAGGAACTCGGCGCCCCAGCCCCCACTGTGGCCTCCGGTGCGTCCTGGCCACATTAGCCAGTGGCACCTCCTACGAGGCCCTCCCCCAGGGTGGGATTCAGACTTGGGAACACAGGACAGGGGACAGGGCTCATGCTTCCCTCTCCCCACCCCTTGCCAAACAGCCCAGGAGACCGAGGGCAGGCTGGTGCCCCACGTGCTTACTTGGGGTCATTTTCGAGTCACTTTCGGTAGTCTGTCTTTCCGGAATTGGCCGCTGCATCTGGATGATCTGACTTGTTGGTATACAATTGTTCAGAGTTTTCATGGAATCCTTTTATTTCTGTCAGGTCGGCAATAATGTCCCCTCTTCATTTCTGATTTTAGAAATGTGGGGTTTTATGTACTGGCTTATTTTTAATAGAGGTGGGGTGTCAGCACGTTGCCCAGGCTGGCCTCGGGTGCAGGCCTCAGCGATCCTCCCACCTCGGCCTCACAGAGTGCTGGGATTACAGGCGTGAGCCATGGGGCTCAGTCTCCGATTTTCGTCATCTGTATCCCGTCTTTCTTTTCTTGGTCAGTCTGGTGAAAGATTTGTCAATTTTATTAATATTTTCAAAAAAACAACTTTTGGTTCTGTTGCTTATCTGTAGTTTCCTCATTCTCTCTATTTTGCTTCACATATTCCACATTCTAACGTTTATTATTTTCTTCCTTTTACTTGCTTTGGGTTTAGTTCATTCTTCTTTTTCTTGTTTCTCAAGGTGGGAGTTGAGGGTTTTTTGATTTTGTTTTGATTGAGACAGAGTCTTGCTCTGTCGCCCAGGCTGGAGTGCATGGCTCGATCTTGGCTCACTGCAACCTCCATCTCCCTGGATCAAGCGACTCTCCTGCCTCAGCCTCCTGAGTAGCTGGGACTACAGGCACGAGCCACCCTGCCAGGCTAATTTTTGTATTTTTAGTAGAGACGGGGTTTCACCATGTTGGCCTGGCTGGTCTTGAACTCCTGACCTAGTGATCCGCCCACTTCTGCCTCCCAAAGTGCTGGGATTACAGGTGTGAGCCACCGCACCCAGCCAAGTTTAGGTCTTTGATTTGACGTTTCCCTTTGAGCATTGCCTTACCTGCATCTTGGAATTTTTTGATATGCTGTGCTTTTTTTTTCTTCTTAGACAGCATTTTGCTCCGCTGCCCAGGTTGGAGTGCAATGGTGTTATCTCAGCTCATTGCAGCCTCTAACCAGGTTCAAGCCATTCTCATGCCTCAGCCTCCCGAGTAGCTGGGATTACAGACATGTGCCATCACGCCTGGCTAATTTTTTTTTTTTTTTTTTTGAGAGGGAGTTTCGCTCTTGTTACCCAGGCTGGAGTGCAATGGCGCGATCTCGGCTCACCGCAACCTCCGCCTCCTGGGTTCAGGCAATTCTCCTGCCTCAGCCTCCTGAGTAGCTGGGATTACAGGCACGCGCCACCATGCCCAGCTAATTTTTTGTATTTTTAGTAGAGACGGGGTTTCACCATGTTGACCAGGATGGTCTCGATCTCTTGACCTCGTGATCCACCCGCCTCGGCCTCCCAAAGTGCTGGGATTACAGGCTTGAGCCACCGCGCCCGGCACGCCTGGCTAATTTTTGTATTGTTTGTAGAGACGGGGTTTCACCCTGTTGCCCAGGCTGGTCTCGAACTCCTGGGCTCAAGTGATCCTCCTGCCTCGGCCTCCCACAGTGCCGGGTGACAGGTGTGAGCCCCGCGCCCGGCGCCTGCTGTGCTTCCGTGTTCATCGTCTCCAGTTACTTCCAGTTTCCCTGATGATCTCCTTTGACTCGCTGGTTGTTTAGGAGTGTGTAATTTCCACATATTTTTGAATTTCCCAAATTGTCTTCACTGTTGATTTCCAGTTTCATGTCTGTGCCGCTGAAGATCACCTCTGCGTTGCTCTCAGGCCTTTTCCACCCACTGGGGCTCGTTCTGTGGCCTGGCATGTGGTCTGTCTTGGGGGCTCTCCCGTGGGCGCTTGGGAGGACTGTGTATTCTGCTGTCGTTATCGATGTCCATTGGGTGTACCTGGTTCCTGGTGTTAATCTCTGGCATGTTTCTGACGCTAGACAGTCGGAAACTTTCCACTGTTCCCAGCGCCATGGCTTTGGGAGAGGCCGGGAAGCCAGTGGGTTTGGAGCCTGGCTGCCTGGGAGGAGGACAGGCGTGGGAACGCCAGGGGCCAGCTTTGAACCTCATTCCCCCAACGTGATGCCGTGTGTGGCAGACATGATGCTTGGCTTTGGTCTCTCGGGGTTCCAACTGCGACAAGGGTTGTTTGTGCCCCTGGCCTCGTCAGCTCGGGCTGAAGGCAGCCATGGTCCTGGCCAGAGGGGCTTTGTGAAGCAGAAACAGATGGCCTGGTGCAGGGACAGGGCCTGGCCAGGACCTCAGTCCTGGGGGTTGTAGAGAAGGCTGGTGCTCTCCCAAGCTGTGCCCATGTCGTGGTGTGCCCGGCGGCTACCCTTGCATGGGCTCCAGGCCTGTCCGTGCTCAGTGTCCTGCCTATGCGGTCCCGGCTCACGAAGGCATGGAGGAGGCAGACACACCACAGGGGCCTCCGAGCCTGGCCGGCCTCGCTGCAGTGTTGGGAGGCCGACATCTTCCTTTTTGTCTTCCACCCAGGCCAGCTGAGGGCCGTCCAGCGGCTGTGCCACTTCTACAGCGCCGTCATGCCCAGCGAGGCCCAGTGCGTCATCTACCATGAGCTCCAGCTCTCCCTGGCCTGCAGGGTGGCCGACAAGGTGCTGGAGGGGCAGCTCCTGGAGACCATCAGCCAGCTCTACCTGTCCCTGGGCACTGAGCGGTGAGGGCTTGTTCCGCGGTGGCAGGGGGCCGGGGCGCGGTGGAGCGGGGCAGGGTGGGGGCGCAGGGAAGCTGGCCCAGGGCCCCAGCAGTGCTCTCCTTGGGGTTGTTTCCTTGGCGTCGGATGCTCTGAGCTGGTGGGCTTTGGGCGACCCAGGGCTGCATCTGGAGAAGACACAGGCTGTGTCTGGGAGCTGGGGGAGATGGAGCATGCCCCTCCTGCCATGGGGCAGCATGATGCCTGGTTCCCTCAGGATGTCCTTCATCCTTTCCGTACTGCACTTGTTCATCCCGGCCCTCCCAGCAGTCTGGGAGGGGCAGGACACTGTGCACACAAGAGGGCCGTTCCCAGGCCCCACATTTGAAATTCATCTGTCACCAGACCCACAGGAAGAGGCAGACTGGTTCCAGGACGTGGAGCGCGCGTTCTGACACCTGTGTCTCATGCCAGGGCCTATAAATCCGCTCTGGACTATACCAAACGGAGTCTGGGGATTTTCATCGACCTCCAGAAGAAAGAGAAGGAGGCGCATGCCTGGCTGCAAGCAGGAAAGATCTATTACATCCTGCGGCAGAGTGAGCTGGTGGACCTGTACATCCAGGTGAGCGGCGAGGATGCGGGAGGGCCCTGCACAGGCTCTCTCCCCATCCACCCAACCATCCATCCATCCATCATCCATCCATTCACTTGTCCATTCACCCATTTACCTGTTCATCCATCCATCCATCCATCCACCCGTCCTTCATCATCCATCCATTCATGTGTCCATTCATTCATTTACCTGTTCATCCTACCATCCATCCATCCGTCCTTCCATCATCCATCCATTCATGTGTCCATTCACTCATTTATCTGTTCATCCATCCACCCAACCGTCCATCCATCCATCATCCATCCATTCACGTGTCCATTCACCCATTTACCTGTTCATCCATCCATCCACCCGTCCTTCATCATCCATCCATTCATGTGTCCATTCATTCATTTATCTGTTCATCCTCTGTCCATTCATTCATTTACCTGTTCATCCTACCATCCATCCGTCCGTCCGTCCATCATCTATCCATCCATGTGTCCATTCATTCATTTATCTGTTCATCCTACCATCCATCCATCCGTTCTTCCATCATCCATCCATTCACCTATTTGTCCTTCTGTCCATCCATCATCCATCCATCCTTCTATCATCCATCAATTCAGCTGTCCATCCTTCTATCCATCATCCATTCATCCATCATCCATCCACTCACCTGTTCATCCTTTTATCTATCATCCATCCATCTATCCATCCATCACTCCATCATCCATTTATCCTTCCATCATCCATCCATTCACCTGTTTGCCCTTCCATCCATGATCCATCCATCCATCTTTCCATTATCCATCCATTCACCTGCTCATCCTTCCATCTATCCATCCATCATCCATCTGTCCATCTATTCATCCATCCATCTATCCATCCATCATCCATCCATCCATTCATCCACCTATCCAATCATTCATTCATTCCTCCATTCATTTGTCTGTCAGTCCATTTGTTTATTCATACATTCATCCATCCATCTCTCCATCCATCCATATGTACATACATACGACATCCACCCATCCATCCACGCATAGATACACACATCATTCCATTCATCCATCCATCTATCCATCCATCTATCCATCCACCCATCTGTCCATCCATCCATCCATCCATTCATGCATCCATCTATTCACATATCCATCCATTCATCTGCCCATCCATCCATCCATCCATATATACATCCATCCATCCATACATACATACATGCATCTGCTTATTCATCCATCCATACATCCATCCATACATACATCTGCTTATCCATCCATCCATTCATCCATCCATCTACTCATTCCAAAGCCACTGCTGAGCACCTGCTGTATGCCTTTCCCCTCCTCCTTCCCACTGGTTCCCTCATATCCTCCCCAAATGCCCAGCATCTTCTCCCTGAGGGCAGAGGCATGGGCCGCTCACAGGCCCAGCACCTGCTGGTATACAGCACATGCTCAAATAATGTGTCCACTCAGTTAACACAGAAGAACTTCTCCAAGCAACACATGGCACATCTCCCTACGAAATGCATCTATCATAGCAGCTGTTTTCAGAGGCTTTCCCAAACACAGTGTGATCTGGAACAAATTGGGAAGCCCATGAGCCTGGTGAGGCTTTCATTTTTGAGCACCTGCTGTATACCTCCTCAAGCTGAGGAGAAGGATCAAGAGCTCATGGCCAAGAGGGGACCAGGCCCACCCACGAACACTCTTGATGTGGGGCCCTGAGCTGTGGCAGGGGTGTGGCAGCACAGAAAGGAGTGGGGGCTGGGCTCCCCGCAGTCTGGAGGCCCAGAGGCTGGTGTGAGTGCGGGGGGAGTGGGCTAGGCCTAGCCCTGGGGGCAGGATTCACAGGTGTGGAGGCCCAGGCATGGGTGGGAGCCTAGCACTGTCTGGGAACAGCAAGCAGTGGGGTCTGGCCAGGTCACAGGTGGGTCACAGGCAGGGCTAGACTGCTCAGCCACGCACTCAGTGGGCATTTGTGGAGCACCTGTTGGGGCCAGGAGCAGCAGGAGGCCCTGAACACTGCAGAGAAGCCCATGGCTTGGTCCCTGGCCTTGTGGAGCTGACCTTCCTGGTGGGAGAGACAGGCGACCCTGACAGAGGGGAAGGACCAGGACAGAGGGGCAGGATGTGTGGGAGCCCTGAAGACACCGGGGCAGAGAGCGCCGAGGTCAGCATGTTGTGAGTGGGTTGGAGGCTGGCTCTGGGTTCCGTGCCCAGCTCCTCGCCGTCCCTTGCCTGCTGGCTCCTGGGTTGCAGCTGCACAGGCACCTCCTGGCACTCAGCTGCATCTGGTCACTGTCCTCATGCCAGCAGTGGTGGCAGCCCCAGCACACAGGGTCTGAAAAGGCTGAGGTGCACCTACAGTGTGACAGGGAGAGGCTGGTGAGGGAATCTCATCTGGGTGGGTGTGGCCACCTCGCCACGTGTGGGTCTTGAGGGAACTTCTGTCTCCTTGCAGGTGGCACAGAATGTGGCCCTGTACACAGGCGACCCCAGCCTGGGGCTGGAGCTGTTCGAGGCGGCTGGAGACATCTTCTTCAATGGGGCCTGGGAGCGGGAGAAAGCCGTGTCCTTCTACCGGGTGAGCTTGCCTGCGGGCTGATGCGGGTTGGCCTTGGGGGCACCTTGAGGGGTGAGGCACAGGTGTGGCAGGGCAGAGGCCTCCCACGTGGAGTCAGGGCCACCCCATGCATGTGCTTAGTTTCCTAGCGGTTTCACTGGGAGGGACATTGACTGCACCCCCGCCCAGATCAAACGCTTGGGCCCTGGACACGGCAACGGGCTTTCCCTTCACCCGATGAGCTCAAGCAGCCATGGTGGGAAGTCCTGTCCCCATCTCCCAGATGAGGAAACTGAGGCTCAGAGAGGCACGGGGACATGTCAAAGGACACACGGCATGTCAGTGGGAGACCCAGGGACAGGGTCCAGGTCTGCAAGCAGCCCGGAGGGACGGCTTCTCCCTTCCTCTGAGCTCATGGTGTGGCTCAGCCCTGGGCACAGATAAGTGTGGTGTTCTTAGAGCAGAGAGGAGTGCTGGGTCCCCTCAGCCAGACTACCGGTGCCCAGGTGGGAGGGGCTGGTCTGAGGCTGCAGGGCACGGCTGGATGGGCCTCAGGTGACCCTTCAGCCCCCAGCTTGGGTGTCGCCCTTTCTCTCAGCTCACAGAGCCGTGTGGAGGCCCACGGGTAGCTGGGCCGTGGAAAACTCCAGGCACATGTTTGGGTTCTGAGGAGGGCGATGGGCAGGGTGGGTGCGGGAAGCCTGACACCTCCTGCCTGTGTGGTAGGACCGGGCCCTGCCCCTGGCAGTGACGACGGGCAACCGCAAGGCGGAGCTGCGGCTGTGCAACAAGCTGGTGGCGCTGCTGGCCACGCTGGAGGAGCCCCGGGAGGGCCTGGAGTTCGCCCACATGGCCCTAGCACTCAGCATCACCCTGGGTAAGCCCCGGACCCTGCGCTGCCGGGACCGACACCTTGCCAGAGCGCAGCCTGCAGGCCTGCAGGGCAGGAGCCGACATAGCTGCCGGGTTCTCTGGTATCCTGTCCAGGCAGGCAGATCTGCCCAGCTGGCCCCCCTGTCCGGCCCTGGGCACAGCCGGAGGTCTCTCACGCAGTGTAGAGCTCCCTGCCTGGCTGAGCTCTGCTTCCTCTGCCTCTTCCCCCTGCCGACCATAAGGGCTGCCCAGTGTGCCCTGCCTTCCAGACACTCCAGGCATCTGGTCAGTCCCTGAGTGTGCCAGGCAGAGTGGCCATGGCCTCATGTGCACCGATTGATCCCTTTCTCTTGTGCCCTTCCCACCTTCATCAACCACACAGTTCTCTGGCTGATGAAATCCCAGTTCCCCTTCCGGCAGCCTGTCCCTTAATGCCAGGCATTCCTGGTGCTGTGCCAGGGTTGTCTGTCCTCCTCCAGAGAGGGAGCCCTGAGCCGGCTGCATGCCCCAGCGCCTTGCGCCCCACAGCCTGTCACACAGTAGATGTGCAGCCATGTGGGAATGCATTGAATGCAGGCTCCACGCCCCTTGCCCTGGAGAGGGGAGGATGCCGGATACAGACCTGGTGGCCTTGCGCATTTTCGGGGGCACCTGGAGTTCAGGCACGCAGCGACTCCCCAGTGCCGGGGACTCTGGTGATGACACGCTCAGGAAGAGTTAAATGTCATGTCTGTGGGCTGCCTGGAGCCCTGGTGCCCGGGAGTGTCTGGGCTGCACGCCTTTTGGGCTCTCCTGGTTAAAAGCAGTGAGCAGAGACAGGCGGCTGTGTGTAGGCACAGAGCTGGGCTGTCCAAGTCCCACTTTGCCAAAGCCTCACAGTAGACAGGGGCAGGACTTATTGGTTCTGCTTTGCAGATGGGAAAAGTGAGTCTGGGAGCCCGGAGGGACTGACCGGGGCTGTCCGGGTGACCACGGGTGCCTGGAGGCGGGCCAGGTGCTGCCGGCGTCTGCATGCCTGCTCCTGAGGGGCCTGTGCCCTGCCTGCCCCAGGGAGCCCTGTTCTCACACCTGCCCCCTCGGCCTGCCCTCCAGGGGACCGGCTGAACGAGCGGGTGGCCTATCACCGGCTGGCCGCCCTACACCACCGGCTGGGCCACGGCGAGCTGGCGGAGCACTTCTACCTCAAGGCGCTGTCGCTCTGCAACTCACCACTGGAGTTCGACGAGGAGACCCTCTACTACGTGAAGGTGTACCTGGTGCTCGGTGACATCATCTTCTACGACCTGAAGGTGGGTGGGGAGGGGCACGGCTGGGGGGCTCCCGGCCCCCTTGGAGTGGGATCTCCACCCAGACCCCAGAGGCCTGGGTTCCAGCCTTCCTTAGGAATGGCCCAGTGGCCTCCCTGGAGCTCCGCGCCCGGCCGGAGGAGCCAGCAGTTAGCAGACACGACCCAGCTCCCGAGCTGGCCAGGCCCCGCCCTCAAGAGCTCAGCCTCAGCCAGGGAGGCTGACACATGAGCAGCCTCTTCTTTACCCACTGGCAGCCACTGGGTAAAGAAGAGGGATTGTAGTCATGGGGGCCCTCCTGGAGGAGGTGACACCAAATCTGAGTCCTGACAGTCAAACGTCAAGTTGCAGTTAACAAAGGAAATGGGGTAGGGAGAAAGACATTTGGGGGATGGCATCCTCACATTGAATCTGCTATGCAAGATCCAACCCAAATTCCATCGCCTCCTCTAGAAAGCCTGCCCAGAGTGCCAATTTGTACTCAGCAACTCCTTTCTGGAGTCTTGAGACACCTTGAATCTTCATATTACCCAGGCAGGGTGGGGCAGGACAGATGTCTTACCACCCTGCTTCACAGACAGGGAAAACCCAGCTCAGGACAGGTGCAGTGGGTGGGGCCCCAACAGCCAGGCTGAGGCTTTGCTGGGTCAGCGCTGGGACCTGTGCTCCCTCTGCTCCCAGCCCTGCAGGGGTGAGAGCTGGGACGGGCTGGCTCTGACCTGGAGTATCTCCACCCCCCTGCCCTGCAGGCACCCGCCCCTCCTCAGCATCGCCCCGGCGCCGCATCAGTGCTCCTTGTGGGATGAGGGGCCGGTGCGCTCCAGTCCAGGGATTCAGCTCTTGGGGGCCTTAAAACAACATGAGAAGGTGGGCAGCCCTAAGACCCCGCCCCGTATACCCCTACAGGCCTGGGGCTGCCCCGGAGGCCCCCACTCAGTGCTGGCGACACCTGGTGCTCAGAAGTGGTCCCTGTGGCCTCCCAAGTCCCAGCCAGACAGGGAGGTGCCAGGCAGCAGGCCCAGAGGGACTCTGCTCTCCACTCACGAGCTGACATGGGACCCAGGGGACGGGCCTCCCAGAAGGGGCCTTTATCTCTCTTGGTCATGCCCACTGCCCGCTCCGCCCACCCAGGGGGAAGGGAAGGGCCTAGTTGTCCCTGAGAGGCAGAGGTCCACGGCTGGGGTCGAGGGGCAGAGGCCTCCCCCTCCTTCCCATGCACAGCCCTCTGGGCCTCATCATGACTGTGCTGTCAGCGCAGGACAGTGTCCCCCATAGAGGCCCTCTCAGAATTCCCCCAGGGCAGCTGTCTTTCCAAGGCCACACCCTCCTCCTGTGTAGGAGACACTGAACCCTGGGCTCAGAGGGGTGGGAGAGAAAGCCAGGCTGGATGGGGCCTGGAAGGCTGGCAGAGAGGCAGGGGTAAATAGGCATCTTTGCCAACTGCCTCTGAAATGGGGTCCCTTTGAGTATACACATGAGAGTGAGCCCTGGAATAGGGTGGATTGGGTGTGCCCTGCCACCCACCAGCTGCTGCACACACCACAGGCACACACAAATGCACACAGACACACCGGCACCTGTGTGCACACAGGTACACACACACAAGCACAGGCATACACACACAGGCACAGGCACACACACAGCGACACGCAAATGCGCATAGAGGCACAGGCACATACACATGCACACACACACACACAGGCACAAGCACACATGCACACACACAGGCACACGCACACACAGGCACGCACACACAGGTGCACAGGTGCACACACACGCACACACAGGCACACACACACAGGCACACACAGGCACGCACACACAGGCGCAGAGGTGCACACACAGGCACAGGCACACACAGGCGCACAGGTGCACACACAGGCACACACAGGCACGCACACACAGGCACGCACACACAGGCGCACAGGTGCACACAGGCACAGGCACACACAGGCGCACAGGTGCACACACAGGCACACACAGGCACGCACACACAGGCGCACAGGTGCACACACAGGCACGCACACACAGGCGCACAGGTGCACACACAGGCGCACAGGTGCACACACAGGCACACACAGGCACAGGCACACACAGGCGCACAGGTGCACACACAGGCACACACAGGCATGCACACACAGGCACACACAGGTGCACACACAGGCACACACAGACACCAGCACATGCACACACAGGCACACAGACACATGCTTTGGCTGGCTCTTTTCTGTTTCATTGGGATGCCCCCTCTTTCAGGAAGCCATCGCCTCCCACCCCAGGCTGAGTCTGGGGCCTCCCGAGCTCCCCACAGGCTCCCAGGCTTCCCTCTGCCACAGCCCTGGCCACCCTGTGCGGTCAGTTTTCACTCCCAGGTCCCCCAGACTGGTAGCAGGGACATTAGGTTCAGCCGTGCACCCGGCAGAGTCCAGTGCTGGGTGGGGCTGGGGGGCGTTGGATGCGCCCCTGCTCCGTGTGTGGGTGGGTAGCTAGGGAATGAACTGGCTCTGCATCTTGGACTTTGTCCTTGGCCCTGGGAGGTGTCTTGAGATGGTAAAGGGGGCTGGGCCAGGCATGGGTCTTGGAGAGGTCCCTTGGGTGACCCCCATGTGGAGGAGGTGCCTGGGGAGAAGCTGGGTGGGGGATGGGAGGGTCAAGGAGGAGGTCTGGGGAGGCCACGTCCCAACCCAGGGATGGCGAGTTTGAGCGAAAGATGCATCTAAAATGGTAGCAGAGGTCTGGGGAGTCACTCTCTGTCCCTATTTCAGAGAAGAGTCCCAGAGATGACACCTGTGAGATTTTTTTGCACCTGGTCCAGCCCGTGGAAGGGCCTGGAAATGGTCATTGTGGACAGGGGTCAGAGGGAAGCCTGGGTCACTCAACACTGTGCCCCTGCTGTGGCTGGGAGCCACGGGTCCCGCATGGGACTCTCAGAGCAGACAGGATCCACCCCAACCACAGCCCATGGGGAAAGCAGTCACTGCCTGCAGAGAGGGTGGGGCTGGGGCAGGAGGCTCAGGGGGGGTCAGGTTAGGGACAGTCAGGGAGGCTTCCAGGGGGTGTCAGGGCCTGCAGCAGTGGAGTTTCACAGGCTTTGGGGCTCCTGGGGTGAGCCGGTGCTGGTGGGACATGATGGTGCAGGAATGGCCTCTGGGGAGACGTGCTTCAAGTCCCCTTTGGCTGAGCATGGCCTGTCCCCTTCAGGACCCTTTTGATGCGGCTGGGTATTACCAGTTGGCACTGGCGGCCGCCGTGGACCTGGGCAACAAGAAGGCACAGCTGAAGATCTACACGCGGCTGGCCACCATCTACCACAACTTCCTCCTGGACCGCGAGAAGTCGCTCTTCTTCTACCAGAAGGCCAGGACCTTCGCCACTGAGCTCAACATCCGCAGGGTCAATCTGCCTCCCCTGCCGCTCTGCGGGTGGGCCCCCTGGCTGGCGCCCAGCCACCCTCACTGAGGACAGCGTCCGAGGAAGTGGGTTTTGTGCTGCTGGGGTGGGAGTGTGGTCTCCTGCCTCTCCTGGTATCTCCAGTGGCTCATTTTCTGGGAAATGGGGACATGAAAGCAGGGGTCAAATGACAATAAATGAGTTTTTTTTTTTTTGCAATAACTTACTAAAGTCACAAAGGCATCCTTCCCTGGCGTGCTTTCTGGGCGTGTCTAGGGGCCAGCTCCCTTCCCTGGGGCAGCCCTGCTGCTATGTCCTGATCTTGGGTATGAGAAAGACCCTGAGTCCAACAGACTTGGGCCAGGTCACCATGAGCCTCGGTTTCCTTGGCGGCCAGAGGGGAGACGGTAGAGGTACTCCTTGGGCAGGTGCCTGCTCTGAGCTTTTGCCATAGGTCTTGTGCCACGTTTGCCTTTAATCCTCAGGCCACTGTGCCCGGAGGTGGGGGCTGCTTGTGCCCCTTTGAAGAAATAGAGGCACAGAGAGGTTAGGTGTCTGTCCCACCGTCACACAGCAGGTAGGGGCCAAGTAGCAGAGCCCAGTGCGCTGACCACCACACCACCCTACCAGCCTGCTGCCAGGAAGGTGCCACCCATTAGGATCCAAGGGCAGCTCCTGGACCTCTCTTGTGGTGTCAGGAGAGCCACAGGCCAGTGAGGGTGGCCCAGGTGATCCCCTATAGAGTGTCCTCTGGTCCCACACTTGGCTGGGCCAAGCCTGGCCAGTCCCACCTCCGGCCACTGGTCAGCCCTGCGGGAAGTGAGATGCAGGGCTCCCCGCCTGTGTAGACGCTGCCGCTTGGTGTTGAAAGCCTCATCTGGGCTGCCCCTGGCCCTCCCCACGTACCCCTCCCCTTCCAGCCCCAGCCCTCATCCCAGTCCCCAGCAATCCCAGGTTTTCCTTCTTAGAATCTCTTGGCCCCAGGAAACACGGCTGACATGGTCTGTTTGCCAGTTTACAGCAAGGAAACTGAGGCTCCGAGGCAGCGGCTGTCCCACGTGATGCTCACACACACTGCCCTCTCCCAGGGCCCCTCTTTTAAACACCTTTTAAATGGCGTGACATTCACACAGCATGCAATTGGCTATTTCAACGCGAGTAGTGTGATGGCATTCGTGCATTCACGGTGCTGTGCAGCCACTCGCTCCATCTATTAAAAACGTGCTCATCTCCCCAGGAGAAACCTCCCATCCCCACTAAGCAGTTGCCCTGCTTGGTATCCCTCAAGCCCCTTGTCTAATGGAAGGGGAAACCGAGGCCTGAGAGAGACTTGCCAGTGGGCGGAGCTCTGATGATAGGGCTCAGGCGCCCACCTGCTGGTTCAGTCTGGGTTGTTTTCCACCCAGCAGAGGTGGCAGAGCCAGGAGGCGCAACCTTCCGGAGCGCGGCAGGGGAGCCCCATCCCTGCCGCCGCCGGAGCCCTGCCCCCAGCCTCCCCGCCAGGTGGCAGCAGAGAGCTTTCCAGAACCATCCGCGGGGCTGGCAGGAAGCAGCAGATCAGAGCTGCTGACCAACCTCATCTTGACCCCAAACCGCTGTCTGCGGGTTGGGCTTGGGAACTGGAGCGGAGGCCGCATGATTAGAACCTTGAGGACGGCACGGCCGGCTGGGCCAGCGGGAAGCACCGTCACGATTGCTGAGGACACAGACCCCCTGCCCGCCGGCCGGGCCTGCAGCCATGCCTCTCGGGGTGGGGCGGGGTCTGCAGGCCTGGGTCGCTCTCGGCCCCCCACCTGCGGAACTGCGCCTGCCCATCTCCACCCACCCTGCCTGGCCCCATGAGGGTACTGGCTCCCGGGATCCTGTTCCTCCCACGCAGCAGAGCCTGGGGGACCAGAGGAAAGGCTGGGTCTTCTGGCCCCGATTCAAACCCCGGCCCAGCACTCAGTCTGCGGATTCGGGGTGAGGGAGCTGATTTCTCTGAGTCCTGTTTGGTCACCACTAAAACGAGGCCCACACGCTGGAGCAGAGTGGCAACCCCAGGGGTAACAGCGGCCTGTTTCCTACTGACAATACCCCCGCTCCCTACGGACACTCGGCCCAGGGCAACCTGCCAGAGGCCCTGGAACCAGAGCCACTGCGTCTTGAATGGGGGCTGGGTAAAATGAGGCTGAGACCTGCTGGGCCGACCTGCTGGGCCGCATTCCCAGGAGGTCAGGAATTCTTAGTCACAGGATGAGATAGGAGGTGGGCACAAGGTACAGGTCACAAGGACCCTGCTGATGAAGCAGGTGGCAGTAAAGAAGCTGGCCAAATCCCGCCAAACCAAGATGGTGATGCGCGTGACTCTGGCTCCCCTGACCGCCCATTATATGCTAATTAGAATGCACTAGCTGCTAAAGGACACTCCCACCGGTGCCATGACAGTTCACAGGTACCATGGGGACATCTGGAGGTTTCCCTACATGGTCTCAAAAGGGAGGGGAGGAGCCCTCAGTTCTGGGAACTGCCCATCCCTTTCCTGGAAAACTGATGAATAGTCCACCCCTTATTTATCCTGTGATCAAGAAATAACCATGAAAATGGGCAACCAGCGGCCTTTGGCCTTCGGGGGCTGCTCTGCCTATGGAGTAGCCATTCTTTTTTTTTTTATTTGTCGAAATCTGGCCTTGTGGCCCTCCAGGCTGGAGTGCAGTGGTGCCATCTCTGCCCGCTACAGCCTCCCCCTCTAGGGTTAAGTGATTCTCCCGCCTCAATCTTCCTGGTAGCTAGGATTACAGGCACCCGCCACCGTGCCAGGCTAATTTTTTGTATTTCAGTAGAGACAGGTATTTTGCCACGTTGGTCAGGCTGGTCTTGAACTCCTGACCTCAGGTGATCCACCTGCCTCGGCCTCCCACAGTGCTGGGATTCCAGGCGGGAGCCACTGACCGGGCCAGAGCAGCCATTCTTTGATTCCTTTGCTTCCTAATAAACTTGCTTTCACATTATGGACTCGCCCCGAGTTCTTTCTTGTGTGAGATCCCAGAACTCTCTCTTGGGATCTGGATCGGGACCCCTTCCAGTAACAAACTCGCTTAACCTCTCAGACCCTCCGTCTCTTCCTCTGTAACCAGAGACAAACCCTACCCCGAGGTTCCCAGAGTGAGGACAGAACGCCTGGGAAGCGAGGGCACAGCGCGGGCGTGTGCAGAACCAGGCAGGCAGGCCCCTCACGGTGGGCGGAGGTCAGGGCTCAGCTGGCTGGAGCCCAAGCCCACCGGTCCCCAGCCCTGCTCTGCCCTTCGGAGGCTGGTTCCCGGACAACAACCCCCTTCCGCAGAATGGGCATGAGATGAGGAGATGCACAGTGGGCATCTGCCTGCCCTATGCAGCCAGTGGGTTCCCAGCTCAGAAGCCAGCTGCTTCGGCTTTAGAGGGAGGTGGCCACGACCCCCAGTCAACTCGGTCACCTTCCCACACACATTCAGCAAATACCCACGGCACGGGCTCCAGGGACTGCCTCGGGCAGGCGCAGGGAACTCCAGGAGTGTTCCAGGCCCTCCCAGAGGGCTCCTGGGACTGGGGCTGAAATCACACTCCTTGTTGGGGTCCCTGGAGACTCCCCTGAACAGAGAAGGAAAGCACCTTGCCCAGGGTCACACAGCACCCTCTCCTGACTCAGAGGCAAGGGAGCTCCACCCAGCACAGCCGCCTCCTGTCTCCTGGAGCCCACGTCCTTCCCTGCACTGGTTCATCCAGGAGCAAATATTGGCTGAGTCCGGGATGGACCCTCGTTTTGGATGAGGAAGCTGAGGCTCAGAGGGGGATGGTCACCATCCCCAGGGAACCGGCTGCCCTGCTGTTCTCCTGAACAGAGAGATCACCATCTCCACTCAAGAGAACAGCATGAGCAGCCAGCTCTGGGCAGGACTGGGCAGCATGCAGGCCACCATCCCGAGTGCACAGCCGGTCTGTGTCAGCCTCATCTTCGCCACGGAGCCCAGGAGTTGAGAGGAGGTGGTTTACGGCCCAGCATGAGGCTGAACTCTCTCCTGAGCAGAGTTCTCCAAAGATGGGAGAGGACTCCTAAGGCAGAATTGAGCTCCCCATCAGCAGAGGGGTTCAAGCAGGCCACAGGGGTCTCCCGCGTGTGTGGAGCAATGTGTCCGGGTGACGCTCTTTGGGCATGAAGGTGCCCTTGGACTCCAGTTGGCACCGTCAGTGATCCAGGCTGTGTTTCCAGGGAGCTTGGCAGCAGTCTGCTTGCATGCCCTGTGTCTAGCGCCTGGCGGGGGAGCAGGGGTGTGGGTCCAGGCTGGGCAGCTGGCGGGACCTGTGCCCCAGCAGCAGGGTGGGGTTTATGCAAGCTCAGGGGCAGGAAGCAGGCTTGAGTCCAGGCTCTGCCTCTGTCCAACTGAGTCTGACCCAAAGCACTCCGTGGTGGGCTCCCCTTTGTGGGCCTCACCCCTCTGCGAGCCTCAGTTTCCTCATCTATAAAACAGGACAATGAGATGTGCCTTGTTGAGCTGTTCAGAAGATCGACAGCATGGTGGGAAGCACAGTTTCTGGGGCTTGTCGGGCCCTCCAGGGTTGATGTAAAACCACAGCGAAAAGAAGAAAGTGCTTTCACCCAGACGGAAGTGCAGGCAGGCAGAATTGCGAAGTGACCCTGCGTGCAGCCTTCCCTTCAGCACAGCTGAGTCTGGGCTTTGACGGGATTTCACTTCTGCAAGTAGGTTTCATTAGGCGGGAAGGGTGAGGGGGTTTGCAAATGTAATTAAGGTCTCAAATCAGTTGAGTTGGAGTATTCAAAGGAAGATGATTACGGACAGCTTGACCTAATCAAGTGAGTCCTGTGTAGAGGGTGCAGCTTTCCCTGATTCTCTTACTGGCCTGGAAGGAAACAGCTTTGGGGGACTCCAGCACAGTGAGCACAGGCTCCCCACAGAGGGGCTGGCCCAGCCAGGAGCTGCAGGCTCTCCCAGGAGCTCAGTGGTCCCCAGCCAGCAACCCTCAAGCACACGGGACCCCCCAGACCTACAACAGCACAGAACTGAATTCTGACAACAACCATGTGAATTTGGAAGGACGCTGAGTCCTGGGGATGACCACAGCCCAGCGGGCACCTCAATTACAGTGTGTGGAGACCCTGGGCAGAGAACCATGTGAGGCTTCGGACCCAAAGAAAGGGGCGTTGCTTTTGGCTGCTGAATTTGTGATAATTTGGTACACAGCATAAA